GGTGTATATATATACGATATATGTATATACTATATATATATGTATATAATCAACATATAATCATTTCACACATAATGGGGATATATATTGATACTTGCCTTTTAACAAGAACTAGTGCTGTTCAAATACACATGCGCAGATGAGTGTGGATGATGAGTTCCTTTAATTGGATTTGAATTTCCAACGGAGCCTCAATGGCCCAGTTGGTTAAAGCACGTCAGCGATCGACCAGAGTGTCCTACACCCTAGGTTACCACTACTTTATTTGGCTATAATTCAGAAACATATACCAGTGCCAAATCCTACAGACCGTAGAAGGTCTGGCGTCTGTTTTCTCCTTTCGTAGCTTATCGTAGACCACCTAACATCGTGATATACACCCAAGATCTAATTCAAGAGGCAAACTAACTCTTTCGACAGCCATAACTTGGGCAATCATGTTTGTGGTTTATCATGCAGAACATGTTCCTTGCTTGATTCTATACAATCATTCAAGAGCAACCAAATCAAACTTCATGTTCCGGATATGACAATTAATAAACTGTCTCGCCAAAAATGTCATTTATTTCACATATTCATATATTGTAATCTTTGTGGTAAAAAATATAACTGGGAAACAAAAAACAAAATACCCTCCGTATGAGGATCAAAACAAAAAATCAGCTATCAAAACCTCTAAGCTTGATGGACCTTATTTAAAAACACCACACTTTTAGTCATTTGAATGAACTGGAGTTTGTATAAAAGTTATTTATGAAAATATGTAATGACGCATATTGATAATATTAATACGATATTCTTTTCAGTTCCTCCTACTGTAACAAAAACAGAGCAATTATCAACTGAGTCGATGCTACAAACATCTAGTAATGGGCAACGGACCTCCAATACCTACAAAAGCACCACCCCTGCTAGGACAATGACATCCAATGACTTAAATCAAGCCAATATTACATCATCAATACCCAATGATTCCAGCGAAACCCCTGCTACTCTAAAAGTGAGTACTGACGAATTGGGTAGAGGCACTGCTACAACCTCAGTGTTAACTAATGATTCAAGCCAAATAACTCTTTCACCACCAGTTTCTATTACACCAGTGATATCAACCATGGATTCCAGCAAACGTCCTCCTTCAACAACAAGTGACCTGCGTCAAATGACATATGTAACGACACCTACGAAACCAACACCATTAACCGAAAGCTATGAAAGTACCACCTACAATAACATGGAAGGCTCGACGTCATCTAGCCTCTTTCCAGACTCACAAACTCCGTCCAAATCACTTTCAACCATGAAAACTACAGTAGACGACAGTATCACTATAGGAAACACTAGTCCTAGAAGTCTTACTTCAAAGCCATCGATTCAGGACTACACTGCAACAGATTTAGTTGTTTTTTCCACAACAGCAACAAAAGTTACTAAAACTTCAATGTCAACTAATATGCCTTCCTTATCAGATGGAACTACAAAATTTCCAAGAAGTACTCTTAACACCACAACACCCACGGGTGTCTCAGATTCAATGGCAACTAGTAAGTGTATTGATTTGATATATTTAGGTACAAGGTAGGTCATGTATTGTCGATACAAAGATATGAAATCTTTTCGTTTTTCTGATTGCGTCATTTATATTCATAAGGGACCAATTAATGTTATATGGGTGCCATGTAAGTTGCAAGTATTATTGTATGGAGTGCCATTAGCGCCGTCATTGCAGATCTTCCTGTAGTGATTATTCGATTATTTGACATGCTGCAGTGTTAAGTTGATATGAAGTGCTGCATAGTTTATATACTGTAGTTAACCCCTGATGCGCAGTAACGCATCAGGGCACTTTCTTATTCTAACATCAGTTTTCAATATGCCGATGAGGGGAAGTACTACTTCTGCTTTACAGGCATAATAAACTATATATTATTAGGCCTATTTAAAAACAAAAGCACGGTATATGAAATATAAAAACAAATTCAATACGCTTACATTTTAGGTAAAGCGGATAATGATAATAATGTTCCAAAAGACCAGAACACTTTACTTGAAGATGAGGATCAGTGGTGTGAGTATATTAATTTATACATATAAATAAATTAATATAAATTATATAATTTAATTAAATATATAAATATAATCAAAATAGCCGTTAAAACTGTTAAATTATATATAAATAATCGAAAAAAGCTAAATACAGTGTAAGAATAAAGGACATGATGGTACATCATGTAGCATAGCTCTCAACGAAAGTTATCCTGTAAATAAATACGGTACATTGTGTAAAAAATCCCTCCGACAGGATTTGAACCTGTGACCTCTCGTTGTCAAGGCGAGAATCATAACCATTAGACCACAACACAACCATAATGTTTCAGTTGGTTAAGCCTCCTTAACCAACTGGACATTTAGAGTTTCGTTGAAAGTTCGAATCGGATTGGAGGCAAATTGATTTTACTTTATATTATGCCGATACAACATTAGTGAAACAGAGATCAATTTGATATGCCATTTTAACAAACGACAATGCAAGATCTCTGAATACTCCCAAGTAATGTAACACCTGAAGAAATAAACGTCTTGCAGTAATGCTTTAGGCCTATATATTTATATCAATTGTAAAGAAGAGAAATCTGCGAGAGTGAAAAAAAGTTACCCACTTGCATGTTAGCTTTTACTTACCGATTTTGTAAGCATGATTCATCCATTGTTTCCCAAGAGGCCTAATATATTGTAAGCTGCCTCCGATTAGTATTTCTAATGCTGTTGACTTATGGTATGGTCAAATAGTAACGAAACAAAACCCCAACGAGCGATTGTGCTAAACATAGTAATGTTTAAATACGTAAACATAGTACAAAAACACATTATAAGAATCATTTATAAATAGACCGGAACCAGTATTAAAACATTCTTGCTTTTTTTGCCGGATGAATATTCTATATTAGTTGTTGTATAATATTGTTATGTCATGCTTTTTTTTTTACAGATCTGTATATGATCTTAGCTGCATTGTGTTTGATTCCTATTCTCATTCTTCTAATTCGATGTTGTTGTTGGAACGTGGGTCACAGGTATGATTAAATGTTTTACTCGTTTTACTACAAATTTTATTAAATTATAAAATTGATATTGATGATAATTGGCCTATTGATAATTTACATTCATGTGATCATTGAGGTAGATGGCAAGTGAAATACAAGCATACAATTATTTTACAGTAAGCCTGGTTGCTGACGCCCACTGCCTCTCTTTTGGACTGTCTGAGCGCATCTATATATTTAATAAATTACAACAGCTAAAATTCCAATAAGTCATAAACCTTAGATAATAATTATACGAAAAATGGGCTAAATATATTAATTTACAACACATGAACATTGATAACACATTAAATAAACAATAAATAGCATTTACAATAATTATTAGAATATTCAAGTAATACCTAGTCAAATCTTCAAAACAATCAATCGGCCAATTACTGTATTCAGTCGATGGTTCAATCAAATAAACAATCAACCAGTCACGATTGAATGTTGATAGATGATCAACCAACCGATTAACCACCCAACCACACTGGTATCCATCAAATGTTATCAGACTATAATCGGAACTGCTGTGTATTAAATAATGCTGGCCTTTTTTGTTTCATAGGGAGCGACACAAATTTGATTATTCACAAAGCAAAGGAAGCAAGAAAAAACACGTCCTTCCCGAAGATGAAGATTGCGATTCTATAGATGATAACTGTATTATCACAAGTGGCACAATTGTTGATGAAGAAGATCAGCCAGTGCCCATTCCATCATATCGCTGGGTTCCTATGGCAAGTGATAACAAACACCTGATTGAGAAAGATACTCCTGTAGAGGCGGATCCAGTCTGGAATATTGGAAGTAATGATGGCGTTGTGGACAACGAGATATATGAGGGAGGAACTGACTTAGAAATAAATGCTGCAACGCCTGCCAACGGTGTGGAGGGAGCTAAAGGCGCAGATAACTTGTATAGTAAAGTTGACTTCTCTAAAAAGAAAAATAAGAGAGCAACTATTATCATTGATAGTAAGTCATTTTCTGCACCTTAAATTCAAAAATGAGGTAAACGTTTATCGCTGTTGCGTTTGTGTTCACCGTTTTGTATGTCGAAAAATATATCCAAAAAACTGATAACACTGAAAAAAGAGAGTAGAGAGATGTTTTTTTTCTATTAAAAGTAATGTTTTATCAATCATTGGCCCCAGTTAGTATAAAACTATGTAGACATAATTTAAAATTATTTTTACAAGTGTACGGTATTTAATTGCATACAATGTGCGTGTGTCCGTTGCTATTTGAAGCGCTACTTAAAATTATAGTAAGAATTACTCTATATTTAATTTGTTTAGGTTTTCAGATGTTATGCATATTATACTGATATTTTATATGTTAATAAAATATATATCTTAGTATTATTACGTATTATTAGTATTTTGTTACTACCATAAAACATGTTATATTAAAAGCTATATGTATGTGGACTTGCCCTATAATTAATTTGCTTAGGTTAACAAATGTTATGGTTATATATCAATAAAAAATATAATTATATATTTTCAAAGACGTGTACACCGTACACGGCACCCTAGCGTTAAAGCATTGGTTTGTATCAGATAACAGAAGTTAAGCAACGTTGGATATGTGACTATGTGGAATTAATTATCGGGTGTTGTAAGCTCGAGTGAGTTGAGTGGTCGAGTAGTACGCAGTGGCGTATCTGAGAATCCTGAAATCGAGGGATGCGAGGTAGAATATTATACTAGTCCCCGGGAGATGAGAATCAATTTCCCAGCCTCTTGGCGGTATAACCAGTCTTTCAAAGCGTTAATCCAAAACCTTGCCGTCCTGCACTTTCTCCTGAAACTAAAATTTACTGTGTTGGGCCACTCAATGTCTTATACAAATACACGAGTTGATCGAGACTGAACCACCTCTTAAACAACTACCAGGAGTTTTTTGTCCTTTCTACACTACACGACCATAAGTTACTCAAACACAATTAGACAAAACCACTGTGGCTTACATAAGCGATAACTTTATTAATTCAATTTATTTTCTTCAGCAAATTTAAAAACTATAAGTTACCCCAGCACATGATAAAACCACTTAGGCATAAACAATACATCTACTTAATTTATATTCTTTTTTTCTTCAAAATATATAAAGAAAACACTACTATCTCCTTTTCTTTTTTTAAATTTTATATAAAACTTCGCCATCACGCGAGGTTGCGTTAGAGTACCTGACCTAGATTACAAGCAGTATCACCATCAGCTGTTGTAACATCGGATACCAAGTGTGCATGGTCCAGTTCGGCGCAGGGATAAAGGCAGTAGCCTTGTTCGCTACCAATTTCCTCAACGTCCGCCCCAAGAGACAAATGTGGAAAACAGATACGCACGTTCATGTCAAAGAGAAGGCATTCGTCGGAAGAATCCCTAGAGTGTTGACAGGCCGCATAACTGGCAAGTTGATAATTAATCCGCAACACCAAAAATGGCTACGGTCGGATGAAAATTCAACTTTATGCAAATTTGACAGAACATAGGCTACAGCTTCTACAGATACAGATACACTTGATTGACATTTGCATTTTGATTGAGATGCAGATGCCATGGCAGCTTCATTTTAGTGGTAATAAACATAATAGGAAAAAAAAAACATAAATGCTATTCGTGACTGCTGTCGCCACCACATTGCCTACCAAGTAGGCCAGATCTTTCGCATTCAACCTGGGATGCTCCATTGTCCACCGGCAAGCTTCTGTATCTGGGAAAACTTGTCCCGAGAAATAATCTACCCAATGACTAAGAAAACGGAGATTTACTAGTCGGAACAAGCTAAGACTTAGTCCAATTGACCAACATTAAACTTGCTGCTGAATCAGTGCCAGAATGAATGTCTCTGCTCGAAGCAATCTCCATCGACGGACTCATCAGGTAAATCATGTTTCATAGACCGTAACCTTACGACAGACGCCACCGGCTTTATTAATTTTGTAAACATCTTGGGGCCCAAACGGAGGCAACTGAAATGCGTATAGCTGCCTTTCCTAGGCAAATCGAATGTATTTGCTGTAGCTTTCGCACACCATAAATTCCTGAACCATGAAATAAGCATCCTTCAGGTCGATGGATGGAAATCATCACATCGCCATTTTAGATTAGATCCATCTTGAATTCCTGTTCCTCTACAAAGCCTTTCAGATACTTGAGATTGAAAACTGAGCAAACTAGAATAACCGTTTGCAGAAACTGTTGAGATGTGGGCTGACCCGCCTTACAGGTCTCTTTACCAACATTTTGTTGATTCCTTCGAGCATGCCTCCGACATTGTTCCCCGCCCAATGCATTGTAATGGTATGGTTTCATCCTCCACTTCCTTTCACTTTAGCAGGATCCATTCTCTACTACCTTTCTTCGCATACTAGGCAGCGGCAGAATACAACCTGAAGACATCTTCTGCTGCGGCTTACTCGGCTTTTGCTGACTCGTCGCCTTGCTAGTCACTAGCCAGCTTACCTTTCTACAATCGCTGAAAAGCGACTTCATGGATGGCGGAGTATCCTTTAAAATAAAAGCCTTGAACATCCATATTTTTCTGGATGCTCCACAGTGCATCTGGAAGTGGGTGCAATGAATCAAGAAGGTATAAATATTATATTTATTCTTTTTATTGGGACTGCTTAAAGCCAGTGACTTTTCGGGGCGCCTCAACCTTTCCCTTCCAGTTATGTCTTCTTTCTGCGTCATCATCCCTGTCCCTGTGTCTCCATGGTGACTCAAACGGTTCCGAACGAACTAGATCCAGACAAACTCGGCTCTGACAGTGTTGGATTTTGAAGTACCTGCACCGGACAACTCCACTCTTTATATCAAATCAACAGGTACCTAGGTATAGACCTATGGCTTAAGCACATCAGCTTCTCGTCCAGGCACAATTTGATAACTGTTGAATCCAGTGGGCCTACTCATAATGACCTTGGTCAGCATCCGTAGCTACCTTACGACCGGATAAAGCGAGGCGTGAAGAAGGACTATCACTATCAGCGCGTGATCGATTCACAGATGGGAAGAAAGATTAGTAAAGATAGTAATGCTTGAAACGTTCTTAGATGTAGAAATACTTTTACCGGACAACAAACCCCAAAGTAGAACAACTCACTGTAAAATCAATATTTCAAACAAAACATTCTAATATCTTGATTTGTACCTGAATACCACAGTACAGCGTAGAGAAAAGGTGGTTGCAAGATGCGAAGGTTATGGATTGACGCTTTGAAGAATAGGTATACCGCCAAACGGCTATGAAACGCCTAGTGATTCGAAACCGAAAGAGGACGCAGTATAATCACATTCAAATACCAGACCTGAAACAATTAATAAAGAATCAAGAGACAGATATATACTAGTGTAGAAAATGCCGGGGAGCGACAGGCTTTGAAAAATATATTGTCGGCTGTTTATAGCTGTTTACTGAAGGAAGGGAAGGCATCGTGTCAAAATGCCCTCTTGGTGGTTATATCAATTAGACCCAAGGCTCTTAAATTAAAGTATTTTTTCAATAAGCAGTATTTAAATGTATTGTAGTTAAAGGCAAGTTTACCCAATCCTATACTTTACAAAGGCCTGTCACAAAATTGGATGGAGCATAAAGAATCTCTATGAATGGAGCGATGTACCTCCACATCACAAAGTTAGTTTAGGGCGTTTACGTAACGTATTCGTAATTTTAAAACTGGGATATTATGTAACTGATTATGCTAAATCAGTTCTCAAATTATATAAAGACACATTGCATTCACATACAAGTCAACTGTCAACAATGATATAATACAAGCATGCCCAATAATAATAATTCCTTGATCACTGAAATATTGTTAAAATAAAATTCAAAACTAAACAAAGTTGAGTTTTGGTTTGCTCCCCCTATCTGCACTTCTGTGCTATGTGTTTTATAAACCAGTATCACCACCATTAATTAACTTATTACTAAAATTCTCTACGGCTACCTGTCTTGATTAATGCATATTCATACCTGAAAACCTCGAATAAAAGCTATGGGCTTTTTTTTTTTAGGACCCTTAAAGATAAGCATAATTTCGAGATTACTTTTGCAAACTAAAGAGTTGGGCTTCTTTTCAAAATGAATGCTGAAAATTTTGAAATTGCTGTAGCTACTGAGATACTAAAATAATATTATTTAAAGATCTTAAAAAAAGGCCATATTAATGATATATTAGCTCCTTTTCGGGATTTCTTTTGCAAAATGAAGTGTGCATTTCTTTTCGAGATTAAGCCCATGGGCCTTCTATTTGAGGTTTTAGAGTATTATACCGGTAACATTTAAGGTCTTCGTATTTCCCTGGCGTAACATGCAGAACTTTCATTTTTTCATTATCCACTCTGCAAATAACTTATTAGTTGCAGTCCCAAGAATCCAATCAATGACTCAATCTTGTTTTCTCAGCCTCTTTTATGTATAATAAGTTTCTCCCTCTCTTTTTAAAATATCGAATGCTATAAATTCACTTAAAGTTTAATTGAAATTTATAAAACTATAAAAGTAAACCTTACCTTTGGTAACAGGCTTGCCTTCAGAGGAAAATTTGGGTCTTACATAGCGACTTTAAGTTTAGAAAATGATAAAAGTAAAGCTAAAGGTACGAGAATAACCCATAGCTCGCTGCGTCATTGGCATTATTTCTAGACACATCAAGTTTAGTGTTACTCAAATATTTGCTCGTGTGAGCAAAAGTTTGAATAGATCGATTGAACACATTGTGTCCTATTGTACATTATAATACAACAGAATTGCTTATGATTCCATAGTAACAATGTCATAACTGCTGCAGCTGAGGTATGTCTAGGACTCTTTACGCAGTTGTGTGTAGATAGCAATCAGACTATGACTCAGATTTCAAGGTATTTAAAAAATTATTTATACTAAATACAAACCAAAGTCGTTGAGTCCGCCATTGAAGGTTATGTTGCCTATTGGGTTTTACTTATCTACTTTACTATTTCTAGTTGATTTTTTTCATTCATGTACCTCGTCGCACTGTGCTACAGGTTTGGACTAAAATGGCTGTGTTCATTCATGCAAATTAGGCCTTTCAATTCCCGATAGTTCTGTAGTAGGTCTGTAGACCGGGGTCAGTTGTTACAAAATGTACATATTGTTCCTTAATTACGTAATTGAATGAGACAAACACACCATTTTTATTCTAATGCAAGAACAGTATATTAAAACGAAGCAATTACAACTGTCATATATCAATCCGTTAATTAATCATTAATTAATTAATTATTGTAGTAGATCAACTGTAACAAATTACCCCTGGTCCGGGGTATATTGTTACATCATGTGGGGCAAGTTGTTACATTGTACAAACTAGATAAAATGTTTAAAATATGCAAACAAACATGCTTTAAAGTGTATAAAAGAGACAACAACATTATTATTCTAGCCTTATGGTTAGACCGCACTATAATTCATTTTAGCTACTCAACAAAACAGTCAATCAGAAATATCCTATCCATTTCTTCTTTGTAATGATCGCAGGAGTAAAGTACGCCTCCTTCGCTACACTCGCTATGTGACCATCCTTGTTACAGTAACAACTTACCCGTAACAACTTACCCCACGTGCTATTTTTATATTGAAACACAGATAGTTGTGTTTAAATGTGTGGTAATGGCCATGCTTCACATAAATATATAAACTTTCTTTATCCATCTACATGAGGGAAAGCTATTACAGAAACGTTTGTCATGACAAATTTACTTTTGGGATAAAAACAAACATTTTATTTACATTTCCTGTCAGGCATTCGGATCGTCACGCTACGGCCGGCGGTGATGGATCTTACAGCGCCCTATAATACGACATCGGTTATACCTCCCTCTGCTTTTCCTATTTGGGGAAAAGGCCACTGTAACAATCTACCCCTGTAACAACTGACCCCGGTCTCCCCTACATTTTATATTCTGCATTACACTACCCAACGGCCCTGCCTTTTCGACTCTAAAGGTGTCGATCCAATAGAAGCATCAGGCCAGTTCTGATTTTTAATATACATATAACATGCATATATTTGTGAGTCT